ATCTGACATTCTGAATCAGTGATACTGAAGTCAGGTGCAGTATCGTTTATTATACGTTGAAAAACATGCTTTGAGGATTCCCACAAACAGCAACGTGGAAAGGAATATTTTTCCATATTGGTCACCTCCATGCAGTAAAACACTAACAACTGAAATTTAACGTGCAAATGTATTATAATATTCCATCTATCAAGACTGAGCAATTCACTTCAACCTCAACTTCAGAAAAGCACATCAATTTGCCCTTCACTATTCTCATTGGATAAAAAGGAGTCTTGGTGTACAGAGAACAACAGGAAACTAAGTAGTACTTGCCCTCTTAGTATCCAGAGAATAACAGTGATCCCGTATGGAAAGTTTCAGCTGATGGTTATTTCTTGAACAGTAGGAGAATGCTCCCTACTGCACAATTGTTTACTGTAGTCAACCTTGTGACTATGGGAGACAGAGATAGAGAAAGGGAATCTTCATGTTTCTTTGATCTGAATTAGTACTGAAATTTAGAAATGTGAAAGGACACTTTGTTCATTTTCTAAGACATCCATTCTTTGCAAGCAATATTTTTTTTGCTCCATGTTGATGTAAAAACTTTCTACCAACTGCATACAGGGGGTGGAAGAAAAAGAAAATGTTTATTTCATAAGAAGAACTGATGCTACACCACTATGGTGTTTTCACCACTAGCAAAAATGTTAAAATGGGATGTAGATGATTGCATGAATATAGTCCAGAAGAATTAGGAAAACATTTTCTGATATCCATGCCCAGCATAAAAATTATTATTAGTGGTCATGAAACAACTTTAACGTAAATTAGTAAGGTGTTTTGGCTGGACTTCCCCGCCCCCATAGAAGACCGAGATCAAGAAATCACCATTGGAGATTGAGAAGCAGCACTTCTTTGTCACTTTGCAGCCACAGGCCAGATTGTGCCTACGGAGGATATTGTGCTCTTACTTTCTATAAAGCAGCATAAATGAAAAGCCTACAATTGTTACATGTTCATAGGTAAAGCTCATCACAAAATGGAACATAAGGAATGACCCAAAAGACAGATGATCCCCTCAACCTCACACCAAAACTCATTACAAAGTAAATCCCGGAAGCTAGCATTATCTCAAGTTATTCCTGCCACATGCAAACATTGTCACACTAATGGTTTATGACAGTTTCAACTCTGATCACTTGAACATAGCTTCTATTGAGACAGTCAGTGCAATGAAGCACAAGACTAAAAGTCCAAGCAATCTGGTTCTGGCACTAACCTTAACTTTTAACTAAAATGGGAAATTAATACAAACTGTTACATTCCTTATTTTCTGGTATAACTAATCAAAAGGGAAAGAAAATTTTAAATGATGATTGCATTGGTGAACAGATCAGGGATATCATGAGTAGGCATTCACAAGTTAAACACATTTGCTTCTCTTCATTATGGGGAGAACTGTGCCACCAGCCAGTCTTTTTCCTGATGGATTTCATGGATTGACCTGCTCAGTTTCTTCACTTATGTGGAAAAGGATCTTTTAAATTCAGGTGATGTTCATTGAAATTATACCCCAGTCATTCCATAGAACATGACTGTTATGTAGTTAGGTACTCCACCACAACAACTATCTGGAGAACATTCCAACCCAAAACACAGGAGGGTCCTCATTGGAATCACACTTAGTGGATATGAAAATACAAAACAAAAAAATGTGCAATTTTATTGCCTAACCATAAACAAAATGAGTGTAAGGTTCTGCTTCTCTAAAACTTTGAAGTTGCAAAATCAGTACCACATACAGGTCCTCAAATGGCTCTATGGTTAAATTCATTGATGCCTATGCTAGCATCAATGCTGATCTTTATGCCATTTTTGTTTAACAATCACACAGTAGAAGTGACCGAGTTAGCATGATGATTCCAAACCATGAACTTAGTGAAAGCTTGATTTAAACATCCTGTGTGACATTCAGTAATAATTTAGCCTGAGCGGACACTTCTCAGGTCCTTGAGAGAACTTGCAAAACGATTCAAGAAGCCCTTAAAAATTAACATGATCTCACGTGAACAAGGTAGATAAGGTCTCAGGAAAGTTAAGAATTACATCCATTATATAAACAGACACTAGCGGTCTTAGCACTCAACATAGCAAGAGAAAAGCACTTTCTTTCATGACTGAAAACTTCAGCATGGCAGAATTTTAAAGTGACATTACAAACAGTGTACCATGACTCAAAATCTGAGAGCCAGGGTCTTAGCTACTGTACTCTCTCTCACCAGAACTTGTGGAATCATGAAGGGGGCATCTCAGCTGCTCAGCAGTCCCACGCTGATGGAAACTCCAGCACCAGGTCACCAACAGAAGTGTGGGATGCCAATGCCTCTTCCCATCTGCTGCCCAAGTAGAAAAGTGCACAGGACCCATATTTTACTTTGAGATGCTTAGGTCACTGTGGTAGAAGGGAAGCCTTTGAAATGTGGAAGGAAAATCCAGTATAAAGACCACAAGACAAATGAAGAGGTAAATGAAATTACAAGAGCAAGGCAACCAGAAGAGATGATCAGAGCTGACGAAAATGATAGGCATTAGAAAGAAGGGTCAAGGTGTAGTTGAATGATGGATATCATGGAATGACTGTGCCGTGGACTTCAGAATGACGCAAACCAGACAAGTATGAATACCATGGCTGCAGATCAAAGGATCTCCATGCAGTAGTAGATCACTTCCTTGACCTGAAGCCTCACTGTGATGCTAGCTTTTGACTAGCAAGTTGTAGATGGAGATTGCAAAATCCCAGAGTACAATCAAATCTTTTCCCTCATACAATCATGTAACCCTTATCATTACATGTCCTACATCTTTTGGACTTAAGCAAATTATTTGTGATGTTCTTGAGTCTATACTTCTGTAGGCATTTACAACTTGCCTCCTCTTTAAAGAGCCACGTTCAATATATCTAATCATCCAGATGAGTTCTTGCAGGCAAAAAAAAGAAAGCAGTTAAACTTTTATAAATCACTGGACACAACAGTCCAACTCCAACTGACCAGTCCTGGACATTGTAGGAAATGTAATAGAAGAGATTTGTCAACACGATAGCAGAGCTGAAAAGTTTTAGTCAGCGCGATTAACAAGAGAAATTGCAGATTCTTTATTAGATAAGAAAGCAACAAGATGATGCTAAATAGAGCTGTTAAATTTTTTTAAAATCCCATTTGCCTCATCAAAACTTAGTTTCATTACTATAGTTAAATGACAGAATTTAGGATAATCACTCAAAAATACAGACATTAGGAGCAATATTAATTTATTTACCTTTAGAACTAAAGCTGTTAGGGATGGACAGCCTAAATGGAAAAAGCGCAACAAAGTCCATTATACCTTTTTGTTTCAAAATATTAAAAAGATAAAGTTGAAACACGTTCTTGGGGAAATGGAAGAGAATTAAATGGATAGCTCTTCCAGGCAACCAGCAGGTGTAAAGAGCCTTACACTATAAAATTCTCCAATTCCATGGTAGCTTTACGCAATCTTCTTACGTAATGCTGGTAATTGGTGACAGTGCCAGTGCAACAATAAGTTCATCTCACTACAGACAAGCTCAATTCACTAGCTGTATCAGACACACCCACAAAGCTTATGATCTTTGTGCCACATAAGTGTTCAACTGAGATACACACTCCTCCATTTATGGTGCCTCAAGCTTGATTTCTTGTGCAACTGAGAATGCCAGAGTGTGTGTGGGCAGTGAGATGGGTGTCATCAACGCTGTGATTAGTGCCCAATTTTCCTGTTCCCTAGTCCTAATGGGTGGGAGTTGTTTGAGAGATTTTAGCAAGCTTCAGTTGGCACTGGTATTTAAAAATAAAAATCAAAGAAAACTTAACAGGGACACTGGCTTTTGGGAGGCCATATATTTCATGAAAATAGGGACACCTGAAAAAACCTTCCTTTCAATTTAAAAAATGAATTTAACTTTTAAAAAATAACATCTCCATGTCTTGTTCCCCTCTTAATAAGTCAGGAATGCCAGCTAGTATCACATTTACTAGCTGTTCCTGTAGTTTAAGTGGGGGGGGGGGGAAGGAAACATGTTTGGATCTCATTTTCCCCAACCTTTCCCACAATGAAAAACCTTAACAACTGGATGTCAGGTAGCTTGGGAATGTTGTCTGCCCTGTTGTCGACTGGCATGCATCAACTGTCAACCTGCAAGGCAGTAGCAATTAAACTTTCACACAAATTGAAACTGAAATACATTACATGGTATTGGACCACACCTTTAATAAGGGTATATACAGTTATTGGCGCCAAGCTCCCACAGTTTCTACAAGAGTAGCGAGTAGCTCCACCCTTAATTATTAAGGCTTAAGTTTATCTTAAACTAACTTTTATTGCTGCTCCTTTATTATTCTTTTCCTGTTCAACACTTTACCTTACAGGTTATTAGGCTGCCAGCAATTCGAGTTCCATTTTGATCCCTGTTCCCCTGCATTTCCTAATCACCCTTCCCCCATAAAATCACATTATTATTGAGCCCAACTTGATTTACAAGTATTACTCATTAACCCTTCCAGGCTCTGAAGTCTACCAAAAAGTCACAGAACAAGGTTGCAGTTTTACACACCTAAGTGCCCATGAAAAACATGGTATGATTTCCCCCCGATGTTCTCTGACTGCACTTAACAACACAGTCAGCACTAGATTTCACTCAGAAATTCAGGCAATCTGCATGCATCTGTGTTTACTTTTTAAATCTGTGGGGGAAAAGGAACACCCCCCCAAAAAAAATTATAACACAGTAGAGGGCAATTTGGCCAGTCACAACAGACTACACGTTCCTTTACCCCAGCACTGTCTGGCAGCGTACACATTTGACAACTAATTGTAATATAAACAGTCTCCTGAAGCCTTACTTGTAAGATAAATCTATTGTACAGAAAACAGATTACTTGTACATTAACAGTTTATGGAAGAAAAAGGAAAAGTTACAGATGACTGTTTTAACTCACCCGGTCTGATTAAATCATCTCTATGGGCAGGCATTCTTTCAACAGTATTTCCTCATGCAGGCTACTACTGCAGTCGGCTGGAAGTCCCCTCCGTTACACTACTGCTTTTTGTTAATTTTTTTTAAAACCAAAAAAAAGTTTTAAACAAAATTCTGCTACTGGATGTCACTGCTTGCAACTGCTGGCTCGTGAACTCAAGGAAGTCGCTATTCCATCCCTGTTCAACAACAAAAAAAAGAAAATAAATAAAATAAAACCTCAGACCACACATGTCGCTGCGTTTTGTTTCCACCCCCCCACCCCCCCAAAAATAAAAGGTGGAGGGGGAAACAAAATCTTTAATGTTGTTTAAAACTCAGCAGCCAGCAGGATGGCTGAATAATCCAGGGTTCGAGGCGACTTGGTTGCGGCCAGTGTCCCTGGGGCTGGTTTTTATAAGCGCACTGTTGCCGGAGCTCGCTAACGCACGCATGGAGTGTCTCAGTCTGATTGTAGCGGAGGCAGCCCCGAACACAGCAGCGGCTCTTCTTATAGACAAGCGCCAATCACTGGCGGCCAATCGCCGAGTCCCCCCCACCCCCCACCCACAGTACCCAGCCTGCTAATCACATGACCAATCCTTACACATTACACCAAGTTCTCAATCAGGGTCTAGGCTGGGGTTAGAAAAAGGGCATCCATTCAAAAAAAATGACAGAATACGCCCAGGCTGTGCCTACAGCCGCTACGAGCAGGAAACTCCCCTGCCTTACACACAAGAGGAATGGCCTTCATCCAAATAAGGCAAATGTCTGGCGGTTCTTTGAACGTTTCCACCAAACCCCCCCCCCTCCCCTCAACACACTGGGAGTACATCCTGAAGTGGGCCTACAACTTGCAATGCAGTCATTATCCTTTTTTTAAAAAATTTATATTTTTTTCTCTTCCTGCACGTAAAAGACAAGACAATCAGGCTGAGAGATTATCCCACAAATGTGTTGCGGTTTATGAAGATTTATTCATGAATAGGAAAACCTCTTTCTGTATTCCAAATTTCTTTTTCTATTGAGATCACACAAAAAATGTAGAAATTAAAAAGGCCAAACTCAAAACTACAGTTAGTCTTAAGCCTGCAGTTTATAATCAGCAACTCCTTTTACACATTTATATCACATAGAAGCGGTGGAATCGATTGTTTTCGTAATAGCCAGGTTATAATTGAACAATACGTTTAAATGACTTACTCCCTGCATATCATTGCTAAACCTTTAACCATTTTTAACTTTGTCAATAATGAGAATCAGCATTAAATTGCAACTACATCTGGTTAGCTAATCAATGATTTCATTACAACTATACAATACTTCTGTGTCATTTAGTAGCTATGTCAAAAACATTGTAAATGCTGCAAATAACCAACTTAGAATACAAAATGGCAACTACAGTTGGAATAATTTAATATGTATAAAAATGTAAAGCTTAAATTAGATATGTACAAATTCCAAACCATTGCACAAACTTCGTTGTAATTGTATATGATACTCTGAACACAGGCTGCATCATTGGTTGTCATAAACTGCTTGAGCATGTGCTTTTTCCTTACATTTTATTCTGCATTTAATTTTGTTTTATTTGCCTACGTGTATGCGAGTAATGAGTGTTTGTGTGAGAGTGAGAGATAGAGGGGGTAGGGTTGGGTAGAGGTGTGGGGTGGGTCGGTGCTTGGTTAGGTAGGGAGTGGTCATGGGTCACTGACCTGCATTAGTTGCAGAAACGCTTCAGGATGACAAGTGTAGGAAATGGACATTTTTAAGAATTCAGCTTTAAAATGAAAGAAATGGCACATTTTCTTCCTACAATGGTTGTCATTTTAATCTCGACGACATGCAGAAATTAAACTATAATTTTTGTAAATTAATGTAATCAATTTTGTGTTTAATGTACTGATTAGAAACACTTGTCAAATACGTTAGAACAACAATGCCCCATTAAATAAATAAAGGGACAGTGGATCCGCTGAAAACAGATGACATTTTGATGAAAAATTTATGAATATCAGAACTCAAATACTATAGCAATCAAATTTCCCTAATTAGTGTTAATTTCTATTCAAACAAAAATGAAACAAAAAAGGTAATTTCTGGAATTAATATATACTTACCAACTCAACTTAAATCCACTTGTCAATATCGTTTAATCTTAACTTCTTAGCCTTGCTGCTCTCTCTACTGTGGGCACTGGTGATCTGGTTAGCTTAACAGAAAGCACTGCAACTACAAGCTTCAAAGCATGTTGAAGGACTTACTACCAGGAATGAAGTGTAAACAAGAGGGGGCTGCTTCTGGGGGAGGGAGTGGGCAGTGTGTGAATCATGTGTGATGTGTCACAGTTTTTTTTAAGGCAGATGGGAATGCATTTCATGCAGTATGGTTTGTTTTGCTGTAGGTCAAGTTAAGTTAAGATGTCAGAATAGCATGAATCAGTCTAATTACTCCATTCGGGGTCGTGCATTACATTGCATTCCAAGCTTCCAAGGTACCACACAGCCAGTAAAGAACAAATAATAGGGGACAGTTATAACTTAAGTTTAATGAAGACAGTGCACAATAAAGATTTTTAAAAATTGTCAGGCTGCAGTGCTAGAAAAGTCACAAGTCATTTTAACCACCAGAGCATCACGTGCAAGTGACCAGATATGTTAGAAATAATTTGTCATCATGTGTGTTTGTTTACAAAATATAAAGTCTGCTCATTCTTTTCTTTGAAACTGCTGCGTTATTGTGGCAAATTTATTGCAAAAAGTATTATTTTCATTTAGTATTTCTCCCCACTTAATCGTAGGAGGATACTTCAGGACAAAACTTTGTGGAAACTTTCCCCATCACTCAAATTTCTGGTCGATGCACAACATGCAATAGTTCCCAAGTTCTGTTCTAACTTGTGCTTCAGTATTGTCCAATCCTTGGATGACAACACACAATGAGTCGCATTGGTCCTTCCATTTTGTCCTCTGTCAAGAATCAATCTGACTCATCTAATAAGTATACTGCCCAGTATAATACTGAACCATGTAAAAGGAGGAAAGTCAGGTTTTGTCTCCTATCTCTGTAGAGCTGTTTAATTTGAGCCTGTGTCATTCAATATGTTGAGCACCAGCATGCCATACAGAGCATCTCAGGCTGTTTCTTCTCTAACCCAATATCCACATGTGCAGATTTACAGGAAAGGATGAATGGGTGAATAGAGAAAGAACCCTGGGAAATTTTCACTTGTCTAATCTACGCAGCCAGTTGTAGCCACTACTTCCACTCTGCCCAAGGTCAGTTGACTAGTCACAGGTGGAGGTTGAACCTGGGAATTTAGTGATCCAGATAACTCCGTACAACATAATTTATTCGCTGATTCAAAAAACAAGAGCTCCTGTTAAAGAAATACTTAGAACGGATATGTCCAAGTTTCAATAGGGGGGAGATAAATCTTCATTGCAATTTTGCTTCTGTTAATATCTTCCTTCTGTCCGCAGATTATTTTTAGTCTAACCAAAAAGACTTCTGTTCAGTGAAGATGGACAGGGAATTTAAAGTCAAGCCAACTGACAAGACTTAATAATTTTTCCATTTTTTAAGATAGAAAAAAAGTCTGAAAAGATGGAGATTAAAATTTGAGAATTTCCTCTTTGTTATCCATACTTTTTCCTTTTGGTTCAGTGATATAATTTGATTGACTGCGATATGTTCCTACAAATACCTGCAGCACTCTGGTACTTCAGCCAATTGGCTATTTTTCATGTGTGATTCCAAATATGGTGGGCAGAAAGTTCACCAATGAATAGGGTGATGTGGAATGATCAAAGTTGAAGCCAATTCTGTTCTTAACACATTGACATACACATTTTTCAGCAGAGGTAGCTAGAGTAGCAGTGGTGAGATTGATGAAGTGGTTAAACGTGTCAAGGGTACAGGGAGAGGGTGAGAGCATGGCATAGAGATGGAGGATCAGTCATCATTATATCAAAATGGCAGAGCAGGCATGATGGGCCAAATGGTCTGCTCCTTGCTCCCATTTTCTCTATTTCTATATTCAGTGCTGTTGAACATCTGTATCTCCATATCTACACACATTTGATATGATTGACATGGAAACCTCAAATAATAATTAAACCTCATTTATAACAATTGGATTGGATGGATTTCATCAAAGCATATTGAAAAAATATCATGGATGACTCATCAGTAGAAGAAGTCAAAGGCTACCTGGAATTGGTCAGGATTGGCATTCATCTTGCACTACTTTAAACAAACCTGATACATATACCTGGTAAGAGGGCAAGAAAACAAAAGATGCCCACACTGCCACTTTAAACTGCCCTTTATAGTGACTGGTCATAGAACAACACTGAAGGCGCTGGGGAGAAGTCTGTGACCCGTCTGATTTGCCAACTGTTTTTGGGATTAAGAAGTCTGTCTTAACCATTAGAATATCACAATCTCAGAAGCCTTAGTGAGCTCAGTGCAGAAAGCTTCCAATGATGATCACATACAGAGAATCAGACAACTTGATACATTAGACAAAAACCAAATGACAGATTGGCAGTCAGCACATTTCTATAACCTACAGTTCTTCATTGAAGATGAAATCAATTACTTCTTTCGACGTAAAGATGAACAAAGAAACATAATAGAAATAAAGCAGAGAATTAAAACAAAAAATACTTCAGAAGCTGGAAATCTGAAACTAACAAATTTCTGGAGAAACTCAGCATGTCTAGCAACATCTATGGACAGAAACAGAGTTAACATTTCAAGTACAGCGTGACCCTAATTCAGAATGTTAACAGCTCACCTTATTTATATGTAGTTTATCAAGTGTGGGAACAAGCTAGACATCGAGAATTCTCGGAACGGGTAACTGGTGACCTCAGCTCATCGTTTACACCAAAGGAACTCCATCATAGATACTGAGCACCAACAGCTCAGGACACTCAATGGGCACCAGCCACATGCACGGACGTTCTATATGTGCCAATCTTTATGAACTCTCATGGCACATTGCCAAACCACTTACAGAGCACTTGCATCCTTCAATGCTACACCTTGGAAGAAACAGCAACTATCATGGCAATGCTGCAGTAAAGACATTGTGTGCTCAGGGGCACACTCCCAATTTGTGGAGCTACCTGACCGAATGCCTGGCCTGTTCACTTGCTATCATAGTACTCACTCACTGAGCCTTTCT